TGTTCGGATTAATCCTTGAAGCTCTGTGTGGACTTTGTACTTTGGTTGGTTTTTTATAGTTAATTTGGCATTTTAGTTGTTGGCAGCAATTCAAAGGAAAGAAAGGTGGGTGCTTATCTCGAGAGACTGTTTGGGACTCATTACAGGCTGGGAATGAACATGATTCCCAGTGTTGAAATAAAACAAGAGTTGTTTTAACTAAGCGTGTGCTTCATTCTCAGGAAGCCTTGGTCACAACAGGCAGAAAATATTATTAGCTCACTTCCTTATATCCAGGACGTGGCATATAAGCTGTGCTCAACCAGGGTCCGCAGGATTGTCTGGGATGCTACACTTCCACTCCATGACTTGTTTTCCATGTTATCTTCTGGGAGGAGGCTTCACAATATCCGAAAGAAAACAACTAGATTCTGTAATAGCTTTGTGACATGTAGTATCAGCCTTGTTAACTCTCAAGGCTCGTCTTTATGGTATGTGATGGTCTGTGATTAATGTATAAGTTAATATGCTTTATTTTCCTTGTGTTCTTCAATACCCAGGAATAGGTGTTGTAGTGGGAAAGTGTCGCCACAACAACTTTTTATCTGCCTGACTGGCTCAGTAAAGAATGGGAAATGAAATAAGTCCTGATTTGACAAAAACATCAGAAGGCTCTTCCTCAACATCTATATAACATTTGGTAATTTTTAATATTATTTCAGTTACTAGGTTTTATTAACTTTGTCCTTTATTAGTATCATTTAAATATTAGATGTGTTCCTGTTACCTCCCAGGAGTTGGACAACTTGGACTAAGAGGAAGAGGTTCCAGTTGAACCATGGAATGTTAGCCTAAGGAGATACAAAAGTAAGAACAAGGCTGTTCTGTGAGAGCAGCAGTGGCAGCGGTCGATTGATTTTGATGATGTCAGGACTCCTAGAAAGCAGACTGGAGACTGAACAACATTGTTCTATTAGGCGTCTCTCAAAGAAAGAGAGTAAATCTTTCATTGATCACAGCTGGCTGTAGCCTGATTTAAGAAGTAGCTCTGACTCATGTTCCCTTTGGTGGAAACAGTATCTGATCTCTGAATCTTGAATGATATCCCTATTTGTGTAAGAATCCGTGAACCTCTAACTTTTGGACTGATTGACAACCCTGACCCAGCTCTTGGAATTTTGGTCTGACTTTGGACTATTCTTCTGTGTGCTCCTATTTCAAAGCAATTCATTCAGACAAACATCGGAGATTTGGTTCTGGTTTGCAGGCTATTATCTCTTGAACTTGAGTGAACTAAGAAATATCAATTATTTGTGGGTTGCAAGCAGGACAGTTTATTTCCAGTCCTAATTAACTCTTGCTCTAATGTCTCTTGTTTTTCTTTCATTGTGGTATTGTTTTTATTTGAGACTTTGTTATCTCATTTTTCAGCATTTCCCAAGCATCCTGAACTTTTTCCTTGTAGGATTTCCTGCATGAAATCCTTCCTTTTCTTAGTTTGTTTACGTCATCTCTCTCTCAAAGTATAAAATACTAGTCTGACTTTGTTCATTTACTTGTGCTTGCATTATGTTGTTGAATTTTAGTATGACATGGTCAATCTCCCTCAAGGTTCCTACAACTTCTACTATCTCAACCATTTTGTTTTTATGAATAAGAATGAAGTCCAGTACAGCTCCGGAATAGTTCTAGTTCCCTCCTCTATCTTTTGGGTAACAAAGTTGTCAGCCAGGCATATCAGGAATGTCATCTGCCATTCACTGTTTCCCAGTTGACGTCAGGATAGTTAAAGTCCCCCTTTACTGCTGTGGTATATGTCCTGCACACCTTGGTTAACTGATCAGCAAAGAGTTCATCTATTTCCACAGTTTGATTGGGTGGCCTGTAGTACACAACTATAGCAGTATCATTTCTTTTCCTTAATATTTACCCAAAGGCTTTCATCCTTGGCATCAAATAATCACTGAGGGAAATCCGGTGTAATTTCTCTTTCTGCAGGTAGTGATGTTCTTCTCCATTCTTGTTGTTTTTCTTGTGGCCATTATACAAAGGAACCAATATCAAATGCACCGTATTTCTGCAAGAGATCAACAAGTGTGTTGAGTTTGTCATAAAGTATATAATCTACTTTGCATTTCCCAATAGATTATTTAACTATGCATCATGATAATCCTTTTGTGTAACTTATTTTTCATGTGATGGTTAGAAATTGTTTCTGACAATTTCTATGTATGTAATTGATTTCATTATTATGAATGGTATATGTAAACATTAAATACATATGCCTTCTGCCACTTTTAAACATTTGATTGTAAGCATTATGTACAGTATATATAAATACCGTACTACTGTTCAAAAATCAAACAAAAATGACATATTTGTCAAAATGTGAAAATAAATTGGAAACAGTTCAATTTTAATCAATATTTTTCTGGAAATTAGAGTAGATTGCAAATCTTCCCTAAAAGATAATCTAGGAACATTTCTGGTCTACCGCCTGTAGCCCACACTCACCTAAAAGACCAACAATCATTGCCACAAATTAGAACTTGTAAGAGTAGTGCATGACAACCCAGTACAGTGATGGGACTACGTTCCTCTCTGTAGGTGAATATTTATTTATTAACTATATATGCTGCCCATCTCACTGTTAAGTATATATAACAAAGCACCATACTTTAAATACCTGTTGTGGACCCGGACGATGGCCACCCCCCCAAGGCTTAACTCAAGATTTAAATAACATTTCTTCAAACCTTTGCAGATCCCCTGTGGTGACATTGCAGCCCTCCGTGGACCACAGCTTGAGAACCACTGTCTTAGCATAAAGCCAAACATGTGGATCCATAATAATAATGCCATGATAATCTAGAAACCCACTGCTAGTGAAACTCTAGTGGTTTAAAGAATTGGCTCTGTTTATTTTATTATGTGTGAAATTCAAGAGGGTACTTTAAAAAGTATACTAAGAAATGCAGATTATTTTAAAGGATGCTCTTTCATATTGCTGTGCAAAAAGCTTTTATCCATTCACAAAATAGCTTCCATCAATTTATGGGAATCCCACAGTATTTGCAAGTTCCTGTAACCCATTCTCACAAAATGATTTTTTTTTCCTTTTCAGGAGGGCATAACCAAAATCATTGCTGCATTCAATCATCATTTTTTATTTAATGCATTCTAAAAATGAATATTAAATGCTGTTTAATATTTTTGTATTTTTGTTTATATCTTATTTAATGATAAATAATAACAATAAATCTTATTAAAAATGCATAACTCAGGTCGGTCTACTCATCTGGACAGTAGGTTAAAGGAGATTTAGGTTTATGATCCCATCCCCGAAATTGCTCAATACTGAATTTGAGAGGGATTTATTTTTTTCCACAAAGGGCTGCTTTGTCTACCCCAAAATACAAATCAACAAATAATTCAAGCAAAGCAGTGATCATTTATTAAGGGTGGTAGTGGTCAAGTCTTTCTATAGGGTACAAATAATACATACATTTAGTGTATGTGCTATGTCAGAGGGCAAGAAATGAAACAATAAAAGACATTATTTAGGTGTTCTAATTGTTTAAATTAAACAATAGAAAACATTGATCCTAGTGACATTCCACAAGTGGAAAATTTATGGGTTATATTTCCCAACTCCAGATGAAAGACCAGATGGAAAAATGGGGCTTTCTCCCAGAGGACAGGAGTATTTACTGCAAACGTGGCACTATTTAAATAACTATCCATCTTTGACAATGCCCCCTTGGACCAACGTGCACACAGAATGACTTGCTGGTCAGAAATATCCCTGTCATCAATCTGCCCCAGCACTGGGCTAGAATTATATAAACTTATGTTTTTATTTTAAAAAAATTACCCTTTAAAATTTAAATTAATAATTTCCCCCTTGCTAGTTCCTTCATTTCTGACACAAGACGAGATGAGGAGATTTCCCAGCTGGGTTTGCATCTTTCTTAAAGCCTGAAAGGATGTTCAAGGCAGTGGTGAGATTCAAATTTTTTTACTACTGGTCCTGTGGACGTGGCTTGGTGGGCGTGGCAGGGGAAGAATACTGCAAAATCCCCGCCCCACCCCACCCCACTAACCTGCTTTCCAGCTCCCTTCTCCTGGGCAGGGCGACCAAAGGAGACCCAGCCGATCAGCTGGGACTCAATGGGAGGCGGAGAAGAGATGGGGGCAGGGGCAGTCAGAGGTGGGATTTCCCGGTTCTCCAAATGACTCAAAATTTCTGCTAATACCGGTTCTCCAGAACTGGTCAGAACCTGCTGAATCCCACCCCTGGTTCAAGGGCTTTCAGAATACTTTGTCTATTGTGTAGTTGTGGAAAAAGGCAGTTTGGCCTAGTGGCGAAGGCAAAGGCAGGAGTCAGGGAGTTTCAAGTCCCACCTTAGCCATTGAAAGCCGTGGGGTGACCTTGGGCCAGTCGCTCCCTCTCAGCCCAGCTCACCTCACAGGGTGGTTGTTGTGGGGAAAGTAGGAGGTGGAAGGTGTGTTGGAGAAGTTTGCCATCTTAATTGTTATAAAAAAATAATAACAAAGATGATATACAAAACAAAAGTTCTCACCTACCTAAAATTCCAGGTAGCAAAAGTATCTAAAAGTCTGTTGTGTAGAAAAAGCAAAATCCTTTGTTTGTTCCAGGTGTCAGGAAACAAAGAATTGGGGTTGCAAGGCAGGATATTTTTTTTGGGGGGGGGGTAGAGGGGGAGGGCTCTGGAACCCCTTCCTGACCCGAAGGGCTGCTCAGCCCTGGGCGAGGCTCCTTTGGGGGTGCTTCTCTCCCCAGGAGCCCCCAGGCTAAGGTCCCCACAGCAGAAGCCCCTCTGGGGTGCTGGGTGAGGGTCTCCTTGGCCTCCCATCTTCCTCCTGCTCAGAGCTCCAGGCCGCTCAGGTGAGCCAGAGGCTCCCAACTGCCAATTCCAGGGAGGTGCTTGGAAGATAACTGCCATGCCAGGCTGGCGGGTTGGTTCCTTGAAGGTTCTGGAACAGTCTGCCATAGCAGGATGGCTGATGTGATGCCCACAGTGGCCAGAAACACCCTGCTTAGTGCCCTAGAGGAGAGGCGGCGGCAGCAGATGAAGGTATGAGGCGGCCAGTGGTCCTGAGGTGGGGGGTAGTGCCTCTTTTTCCAGATGTGGCCGTCCTTTTGGGCCCTGGCATCACAGTCTCAGAGGGTTGGTGGGTTTCGGTTTGGCACCGGGCCAAACCTTATTGCACTTACTGAACCCCACAGCTTGGTGGGTTGTCAAAACCTAGCCAGGAGGGTTCTGTGGAGCTGGCCCAGTTGGCCGTATTTTGGCTGAGAGGGCTGCCCCACTGAGTCTGTGGATGGGAGACCACTTGGAGATCCCAGGACTGTCGGCTAGACTGGAGGACCAATCCTGGAGGAAAACCATGCCTGGAAGCCAAGTTTCCCCTGGCTACCTTGCCCTGTTTTACTCTCATCTTGAAGGTTCCTCTGACCACTTGGGTTTCTGCCGGGTTTTTCTCACCCTCTGGAGATGTCCTTGGGGCCTTTTCTGCTGGTCAGTGGCCATCAGAAAAGCCATTTGTTCTTTTTCATTTTCCCTGCTCTGGCCCAAAACACAGTTGTGTCCAGCTGCTTCTGCACAAACGGAGAAGACAAAGGGGGCTGCAATGTTTCCTGAACACCTCTGATCTGATCACAAGGCTCATGTTATAAGGTGCTAGAGCCGGGGTCTCCAAACTTGGCAACTTTAAGACTTGTGGACTTCAACTCCAGAATTTCCCAGCAGCAGCTTTAAGTCCACGTCTTAAAAGTTGTCAGGTTTAGAGAGACTCCTGCATTAGAGCATGTAAAACCATGTGTATAAGGAACATGGCTTATGGCCTAGCATCATGGCTGGATTTGACTCAGGTTAATCAGGGTGCAGCCACCTAATCCAGTGTGCAGGAACATCTGCAGGACATAAAAAAAACCCCAAGATGATGGCTGCCACCTCTTGGGCCTTCATCCATGGGGTAGCAACCACCATCTTGACTTTTTGGGCCCTCTCCTATTCAGGCATGTCTGCCATTGGCTTGGATTTGCATGGCACATGCCCAGAACTATAAACTCACTACAAATTGCTATAACCTTAGACTAAAATCCAACTGCTTCCTTAATGGTTCAGTGCGCTGAGGACAGAGAGAGGGTTGAATCTCCAGATTCTGCCTCCTAAGCTCTTTGTTTTCCCTTTTGAGCACCCAGCTTTCTTTCTAGAGTTTTGGTTTTTCTATATCCTGTGTTTTGATGGATTTTGGGGAGACATACCAAAATATTTATAAAGATAAGCGATGGATTATTTCTGCAACATCGGACTGTTTGACAGAGTTTCAAATAGCGGGGAAAACCAAGCCCTAAAGTACGGAGGCTAAATCTTTTGGCGCTTTCCCCCCCACAGAAATTCCTGCTTCACCGGCTGATCTTTGTTGCAATGCTGCGAGAAGATGCGAGTGAGGGTGAAATCACAGGTATTGCAGTCAGTCTCACCATGACCTTCGAAAGACGGAGCTTCCCTTGGACGCTCTTAGTGAGGGAAAGGTTCCAAGATCTTAATGAAATCGCTGCTTGCCCTGGGTCGTCCTCTTCCATAGCGCTCTGAAGCTCCCCAGCTGGCCAGATTTCCCCAGATGGGGAGGCTTTCACGGGCCTTGTCTGGCTGAGGGGAGGTCTGCCTATCTCACTCTCACTCTCTCATCTCCACTGAAGACCAGCGTTTGTCACTGTGAAGACGATGCTGGTGATAACCTTAATTTTGAATCCTGCCCTATCAGGTAGACCAGACTAAGGAACAGACCCCGTGTAGACTTACACCTACTTTGATCAGAACAACTGTAGTAACAGTGCCTTGCAAGTCTGAATGAACTTGTGATGACCCAGGGTGGGATACAAACCAAACCCAGTCACAGAAAACAGGTGAAGCCCCTTTTAGTCCTTCACTTGGCTTCCAAGCTCTGAATATCCTTGACTGAAGACCAATTACTCCCACGCAAACAGTTACAAGGAGGGGGAAAAAAGCAACACAAACCAGGCAAGAGAAGGGCTGGAGGACAGTCAAGGCCCTCTCCTCCCGAGTAGACCATGTCTCTCCTTTATCCTCTCCTCCCTGTGTGCCCTAGGAGAAAGAGGAGATGGGCCTGGGTCCTCCTCTGACTGCCCACCCAGCCTCTGCCCTTCCCCAGCCTCCTCCACAACATCCGGAGCCACACCTCACCTCTGCTCCCTGGGTCAGCTGTTCCTCCTCTCCCTCAGAGTCCGACTCCACCGGAGGCAGGACAGAACTTCCCCTTGTCTATCTTCATGAAAACTGGAGGGGGGAGGCTGTCTGGGGCGTTTTTGTAATCCCCTTTGTGGCCTGGGCTCAAGCCTCCTGTATTTCATCCTTGCCTTGCTGGTGGATCTCCCCTCCGTTCAAGGCCATCCCCTCTCTTCACTGCAGGTGGCTTCTAAGGCAGATTTATCCCAGGGTTCAGCAAATCGTATTTAAACCAATACCTAAAGTTTGTCGAGTCTGTTTGTTCACATGCAGCAGAGGTGGGGAATTTGTGGACCTCCAGTTATTGCCTAATCACAAGGCCCAGAAACCACAGCCAGCATTGCCATTCTAGTTCAGCAGTCCCTGGAAGGCTAACCCAATTCATAACTGCCCTTTTTTTCATCACATGCCCAATTGTGCAATTGCTTTTTGAAACAGATTAATCCATTAGTATGATTGTGTATGTCGGAATCATCGGGCATGACACTCGGTCTCCTGCACAGCCTATAGGCAGGTGCAGCAGATCCTGCTGACACCCGTGAGAAAGCTGGGAACAAGCCCCGACCAGCAGGCACTGGACCTTTCCTCCTGCCCCGTCTGCTTTTTTTTGGGGGGGGGGGGGGATTCTGAGCTGATCTATTGATCTTTCCCACTTCCTTTTTAAAGACTATCATGAACAGCTTTTCCAGAAGATTTCACGATCCCATTTGGGGGAAGCAGCCTCCGGGGTCCTTCTCATCTACTCCCAGAGCATACTCCACATTCTGGAGGTAGGTCAAGCAAATATTTAAGAGTATCAGAAGAAAATGAAAAACCCTTTAGCCGAATTGTGTAGTTTAGTTGAAATGCCGATAAAACCTACATCCAATTTAAGCATCAATCCGTAATCAAACATACTGAGTAATACAGGCACAAGATAGTTTGATCACCTGCAGAGTTAAGAAAATCCCTCACCAGAAGTTTCTGAAAGCATCACTTCCAGTACAGAATAACAGAATTGAGTGGAAACCCCTTCAGAACTTCATATCCTGATGCTCTTCCCTTCTCCTCAGGCCTCCAGCGGCACCCTCTACCACATCCTCATGGACCTGGCCCTCTTTGAACAACAGGGAGCAGCGTAAGTCAAGCAAGTCCACCAGGGAGGAGAGCTGAGGGGAGGCGGGGGGCAGGGGGGCATCTCAGCCACAAGGCAGAGGGACTTCTGGAAGATGCCCAAGTCTCTCTACACAGTTGGAAAGTTGGACAGTCTGAAGAATGGACGATGCCCTTGGCTGAAAGATTGCACCGAATGACCATGTCTTTATATATATTTATCTGTGCTTTTATTATTACAAAATTGCAAGGTGAAAAGTAAAGTTTAAAAATACAGTTATAGTAAGTGAATTGCAAGGTACAAACCGATAAACAGAGCATCCCATAACCTCTTCACCAGTACTCACAGATGGGTGATGGCTTTAAAACAGCTAAAAGCAAAGCCAAAAAAAACTAAACTAAGAGAAGCAGCAGCAGAAAGGAGAAAGCCCAGCAACACCAATGGAAAGAAAAGCCTTCCATCACTCCCAGCATTTGGGTGTGTGAATAAGATAGGGAAGAACACTTCCTACTAGCACTGAGGATGTTACATAGCTTGGTAATGAAAAGTCTGCAACAAAACATCCAGAGAGAGCAGCAAAGAACCCACGACGAGAGAAAATGTCACCTTATCTAAGGGGTGGGGAAACTGTAGCCAATCAAAGGTCACCAATTTACAGTTCCCAGGCAATTTGAGTGCCCTGGATGGGGGGCATTGGCATCTAGCAAATTCTTGAGGGCATCAGATTCCTCAACCCTATTTTCAGACACAGGTGAAAGCACACCTGGGAGGTTCAGCCAGGAGAGGAAAGTTATGAACTCCGTAAGACCTGTGGTTGGATCAGGAACAGGCTTGGTCTGATTCACAGGGCGAGGATTTATGAGCAGGGAATTCAGAGAAATGTTTAGATTTCTCCCTTGATCTGGATAGCCCACATGACAACCTACTGAAGGTTCAACATCCAGTTGGAATAAAAACATCCTGCATCAAACCTGGAAGAGAAAGGGGGTTCGCTCGTCACTGGAAGGATCCTGTCTTGAGGAACTAGTTGTTAGGTTCTCTGAAAAAGTTCTACTTTCATACTGCCTTTCCCCAGCTGCTGAGAAGCTTCTTGTAGATTGTTTCCGCTTAGTTTTTATCCTGTTTTTATCTTGTTTTCATAATTATTGTAAACCACCTCAGGAGTTTTAGAACAGGAAGCGCTATATAAATACTTGGGAGGCAACCTCCCACGCCCCTGGGCGATGTAGTCAGTGCCTCTGATGTGACCCCTCATTGGTAGGTAGCTACAAGCCTTAAATATCTTGATTTTGATACAACATGGCTGCAAGTGTGTGCACAATGTGTGTGCAGAGACCTATGGGTTTAATAGGGTTTCTTTCTCCCTTTTAGGGCTTTATTACGAGATATTAAGATAATGGTAATGTCTCATAACATCCCCACCAGACTTTTCTCACAGTGGAATGCCACCAAATTGGAAGTCCCTGTAACTTTGGAAGATGTTACCCAGAGCCAAACCACAGAAGAAGTTATTACTGAGTGTCTTACACTTATTCTCAAGATGGGAGTGTATCTTGCAACACTCAAGGTGAGAGCAGATCCCTTCATCTCTCTGGCATCAGGTTCATTTTCCCAGGACCAGCATCTGATCCAAAATAGACTTGCCTGCACATGAGGATAATGCATTCCAACAGTGGATCTCCTTCATTTGGGACAAAGTTGGTAGAAATGTACATTTCTGTAGCCAGAAGATCTCTCCAGCTTTTGGCCAAGACTCTGAGATGCCGTAAGTAGCACACCAAATCCTGGTAGATCAAGAAATTTGGCATTTCACTTGCTTACACCTCCCTGCTTTGGTCAAGATACTGAATGTCTCCTCCATTTCTTCAGAAGCCAGTTTTTTCCCGTGTTTTGGCTAGTTAACAGGCTTGCAGTTCCAATTTTGACATATTCTAAGTTAACAATGCCAACATGTAAGGAAGAACTTGGGGACATACATGAGATAGTGCCAAGGGCACGATGGGGACTCTGTTTTTAGTTTCTTACTTGTAATCATTCTTAGGGGTTCTGATGCATTGATGTGATTTCATTTAAAAATATTGATTTTCTTGAAAAAGCCACTATCCTGGTCATGGAGACACAGGATCTGGGTTCTCTTGTGTTTTGTTTACAGGCAGGATTATTTTAAAAAATAGGATCCTAGAAAATATATAGATGTTACCTAAGCTTAAGTCAATTCTGCACAATCCAAATTGGGAGCTTCCTTTCAGCTCCCAGTCCCTATGCTTCAATCTGTAAGTTTATTTTAGGCCAAGCTTTGAAAGGCCAGTCTTAAGAGCAGCACTGGATAAAACAGAAAAGCCTGACCAAGTCAATGCACACACTAATTCCAGACAAATGCCATGGGATTAAATCTGCTGTGCTTCCTTTCTCCTCTCAAGATGGGCAACAAAGACCTGGGCGAGTGCCTCCACACCGCTGTGCCGGAGCTGCTGATCCCAGCAGAAACGATCCAGTATTTGTGCAGGAGCCAAGAATGTTTGAGCCCGGCAGAATTTCTGAAGATGTACAAGAAGCCTTTGCAGCCACAAATGGATTCAGGTAGCTCTTCTGCCCAGAGGGGAGTCCCCCAAGGTGGACCAGACAACCCCCAGCCCAAAAGGAAAGTCTCCCTCCTCCGCCAGGCTCCAAGGCAGCTCCTGGTCGACAGGAAGCTTCCACAGGGCTCCACTGGGACCAAGCAAGTCACCATTTTTCTAGAAAGCTGTAGATTCTACTTGAAACTGAAGACGTAGAGAGATGGTTTATGCTTGGAAAGCTGGTGCTTTGCAGCTTAAGTGCAAGGGCCTCCCAAATAGGCAACTTTAAGGCTTGTGGACTTCAACTCCCAGAATTCCTTAGCCAGCCATTAAGAAAACCCACCCTGGGTGAGGAATTTTGGGAGTTGAAGTCCACAGGCCTTACAGCTGCCAAGTTTGGAGGCCTCTATTTTAAACACAATTAGATGATCTTGGCAATATATTCCATTTATCCTTCCATCCCTGCCCCAGCTTCTTTTTAAGACCCCAACATCTTTCAGTTAAAATTGGGTGGGTGGATGGAGAAAAGGGAGCCTCCAAAGAAAATGTTCGATGCAAAGATCACGGCGTAAGAAAGGGACTTATTTTAATCGTTAACAAGGTTGCTCAATGAAGAGTTACAAGAGATGCCCCTAAATTACCTATGGCCATTTCAAACTAGGATGGCTGCAGGGGCCCAGTGGTCATCCGCCCTAATGACCCACCACAGGGCCACTGCAGCACCCCCTCCCCTCCCCTCCCCTCCGCTTGGGCCTCCTCCACACATGCTAATCACGCCCCACATTATTTCTTCATGTTGGGGAAGGAGGGAGGGACAAAATGGCAGCAACTGCTGGAATTGTTCCCTCACAACCAGCGACAGGGATGCTGCAGGGCTTCTCTCCCCACCATCCCATCCCACCAGGACCATACAGCGCTTGGCCCTGTTCCCTTACACCTACCTTCTGAAGCTCTCCGGACTTGGTGCCATGGAAGGCAGGCAGCCCATGACATCCCCGGGCCACGAACATGGCAGCCATTTTGTGCTGCCTGCTTGTGGGCGGGGAAGAAAAATGGTGGCTGCCAGATAAATGGATCCCTTTGCTGCCTTAAAGATGACGTCTCCACAGCTGTGCGGAAGCTTCTGAACAAGCATTGCGCTGACCTTGTGCAGTGGCGACCCAAACACAGTTGCTGTTTTGTGAATTAGAAAGCACATAGCCCCAGACAAAATGGCACCCACTTCAAGAACTCCACCATGCAGCTAGCAGCTGTCAAGACATGCAACCGTAATGGGCAGGCTCCATGAGTCTTGAGGACAACCTATAATTACTAATGCCGAGAGCCAAACCTTTAGCCCAACCATATTGAAAAAGCTTTGTGCATGATACTGGTAGTCCTGCCTTAGGACTAGTCGCTGAGCGACCATTCAAAGCTACCACGGATCTCCCAGAAGATCCTCATGACTCGGTTCCAAAGTTCTGACAACCAGCCCGCCTCCCCCAGTCATATAGCTGAATTTTGGGCACTTCGCAACCAACTTGCATTTATGGCCATCCGCAATGTCCCGAAGTTACAAGACTGCAATTTATGTTTTTGATGAAAACAGGTGGTTCACTTCTGGGTTTTGGCAAAAATGCCCCATAGGGAACAATGGGTTTGTGTAATAGCTGCCACAAAAAAGATTGTAAAATCAGGTTGGTCACATAATGACCAAGTTTACAACCATCATGATTTATGACTGTAATAGGCAGGCTCCCGGGGATAATGGAAAAAGAATATATGAGAACTTGCATCCAAGTGCATCTGAAGTGGGGAGCTTTGGGCAGGGGCTGGGAAGGTTGGAGAGGCCCACTCTCAGCCTCCTGGTCATTCGACACACTCCTACAGAGTGAACACACACACAGGCACACACACACTTTAGCCAACCCGAGACATAAAGGGAACATGTATGCACAATCTGATTAGTTCCTGGAGTCCCTGGAGGGAGAGTGCACACGTACACACAGTGTGCATGCACCAAAGAAAATACAGGTGCTCTTCTGGGTATTGCTTGTAAAAGTGTTGGAAAAATAATGTTTCTTTTTTCTTCCACTTCCCTTTCTCCTCCCCAGAAATAGTATGGCCTACTCCTACTCATATGTTTACATGAAATCCTACAGAGAAGCTACCTATCAATGTGTCTAAAGATGCATTTACAAATCCCAAAGTCCTGGGATGGAGTTGGCCCGAGAACTTCATCCATGCAGAGGGAAAACAAAGCAAGCAATAAAGTTGTCAGGAGGACTGGAGAGTAGTGTGCTGGCGTTCTTTCAAATCAGGGCTGAGAGATTAGTGACTCTCCAGAGTTGTTGAACTTCTCATTCTTTGGGTCTTGACCCCTTATGACTAAAAGTAATTGGGTACGGGAGAAATTAGAGGCAAATGCTTCTTGGTGGTCTATACATCCGAGCATCTCCCAGGTTCTTGCCAAATTATTCCCTTTTTCTTTTTTTCTGGGGTGACACTGCTTCACTTCCCAAGCAATTTCATTCACTGGTGAATTAGGGGAAAAATACAGTTCTGGGGTAGGAAAATTACAATAAATTGGTTTAACAGTGACAAAAAAAGAGAATAATTTTACTCGGCAGATGAACTCAACAAGATATCCAAAATAACTTTCAAAGTTCAACTCATTTATAGCAATACACATTTTCCAGAGTTCAGCTAGACAGCAGCTGCCTATGGAAGTTACAGAAACCAGAGCAGAAGGGTTAATACAAATATCTATGAAAAAAAAGGGGTAAAGAACCATATTTTAAAAAAGAATAGCACTGAAATGGTTAGAGAGACAGTACATTTCCTTCTACAGTGTCGTCCATCAAGGCACAAGAATACATCTATCCACCATTTAGAAAAGTGACCGATAACCAGCAGTCATCTTCTGCACCTGTAGCAATTTTTTGGTTCATACTTTTAACAAAGTCTGCAGCGTATCGGAGATAGCATGTCTCTTGCATGCGTCTCTTTGATACGGGCAAAGAAGAAGAGCTCAACAGAGGTCTTGAAAGGGTTATGATTTCCATTACACATGCATTGCTTTGGATTCTTCTCAGAACTTTCTGGCAAGGGCCGTCTTGGTTAACAGCAGCAATCAAGCTTCTCATATAAGGTTTAGCAACAGCCAGAACACCCAATGTTAGCTTAGGCAGCTTGGTCTCAGGATACAGGTCATTAAACTCTCCTTTTAACGATCACATGTCTTCTCAGAAGACATGAGGCAGGCAGTGGTACCATTCCTACTTTGTCTTCTTCTTTGTTTTAAAGCTCCTCACTGTGAATCCTGGACTGGTTAGGTTTTCATTGGGATAGAAAAGGCTGCTTTGGAGTGATTTTATTCTTTTTTTACAAAGCAGTGCTTTCAGTATCATGATCGAGATCAATCCCAAGGTGGTTGTGTGAATTCTGATTCGGCGAAGTCACCAATTCTGAGGCAGGAAGTTCCACGCCAGGGATGCTCCGTGATTGCTCTTTGACTTCGGAACTGGTATCTGTACAGAAAAGACATCAAACACACACAGTACAAATGCTGAAAGGTAACTCAGGGCTTGCTGCTAATCCATAAGACTCTCCCTCGGTTGCCATTATGAGGCTAAAAGGACTGAGTTCAAAGGAGAGCTGGAATTACAATTCAGCGTCTTGACTTCAGAATCCCCTAACAATGTCCTTTTATCGTGTGAGCCATAATGGCTAGAAACTTTGTTGTGGAAGGAGCCTGACCTTCTCAGAGGTGACAGGATATACCTTCACCTTAAAATTTCAAATTTGAGCAGCAGAAAACAGAGAGCTTTATTCTCAGACACCCAGAGGTGGCATTCAGCAGGTTCTGACCAGTTCTGGAGAACCAGTAGCAGAAATGTTGAGTAGTTCAGAGAACTGGCAAATCCCACCTCTGACTGGAGATTTTACAGTATCCTTGCCCTGCCACCCCCACCGAACCGGTAGTAAAAAAAAATTGAATCCCACCACTGCAGACACCCAAAGTTTCTTTACGTCATTCGTGGAAACCAATTTGTCACAAGCTGGAAGTCCAACTGTCAGGACCCGACTAGTATAAACTTAGGTAATTCTGGAAAAGCACAAACTGCTTTAGTAGGGAAGCATAATCTGACGAAACAGGTCAATGAAAACAGAATTTTGTTCATTTGTCTAAATTTGCCACATTCTGGGCAAAGGTGGTTGGGCCTGGGGCTTTAGTGGATCTGCAAAGAGTAGAACTCTATGGGACCTGGAAGTGGGCAGAGAACCCATTAACACAAACAATTATGTTGTAACAATTTGGGAGAGTGGGACTTGCCTGTCTTGGCTACCTAGCTCTCGTCCCCTTTTCAAAATCCAAGAAACATGAGCACACATTAGCTAGACTGTTTTTACACTGGCGACCACCCTCTTCTCCCCCCTCCCTCAATGAAAAGGTGAAAAGACATCTGACATGCAGGTGGGACTTCATTTCCACAGGCGTGCAGCCCCAGTGCGATGAGGCAAAGGTATCCTTTCCCTTTCAACGCAGAATGACTGCAAAATGGAGTTGCACTTGCTCTTGTGCATGTCTTCACCATCGGAGATGTAAATCCAGTCACGGCTCTCCCTAGTAAGTTCTGTTCCTGACAATCACACGTGCAAAGTTTAGACGGGCACTGGACGGGCCCTCACTTGACTCTTAATGGAAGAGCTTTAAGGACCCCCAAAGTTCCATGGGCTGGATGAGGGTTGCCACTAGCGCACAATGGGGCATGAGGCAGAGCTGGGGATCGACCGAATTGCCTGCTTTTCAGCCTCTGTTGATGGGGTGGAATGTTGTCTGGATTCCCAGGAGGGAGAGGCTGCAGGCCAGAGGACCAAGAGGCAGGGACTATGTTTAGATAGTCTGGTTGGGATGAACAGGGTCAAGGCACCTCCTCCCTAGATGTTCTTGAGATTGTCTTATATGATGCAAGTAGTTGCTCTAGTTTGGCAAGATTTCTGTCTGCAGGTGAGGGACGATAAAGGCTCTAATCTGCTCTTCACCAGAAAGATGCTTTGGCTGCTGTATCTTCTTTCTAAGTTAAGGTCACCTCCAGCAAATTAGGCAATATTTGGAGCTGAGTCTCTCTACACATAAAAGATTAGACGTCACAGTTGCCAGAGCTCTTGGCTAGCAATACTGCGATTAGGGCAAAAGAATGCACACCGACTTGCTTGGGGCAACGGCCGCTTATTCCAAGATCACACTGAGTTTGTATTTTATTAGGAATTCACCTGAGCTTCCAATCCATTCAAGAGGCCTTTCTCTCAGATTCTTCTTACCCTGCATGTTTAAGCCCTGTGCAGCAACGGAGGTGCCCTGTTACACTATCAGGGAACAGCAACCAGTGCCAGGACTCGCATGGACCGGCAAGGCTGCACTTAAGCTTTTTGTGGGAGAGAACTCAGACTGAAAATTCCTCAGCACAAGAGTGGAGGGAAGAACAGTTTACAGGTGCCTCTCTGTGTGCACCTTTTACTTCTATCTGGACATGCTATGAAGCTCTGAAGATTTTGAAAAGCAGAAATTCATTCCAGTGTCTGCTGATGAAAGGTTGACAAATATGGATCGGGGAGGGGCAGTAGACCAGGACACATCCAGGGAATGCAATAAAATGGAGATCAACATGACAAACAATGGACAGGCATCACTCCTTTCACATGCAGGATTAGTCCAGGTGCAAGCAAGCCAGGTTACGGTGACCAGTTAGTAAGAAACAAAAGCAGCATCCATGATTAGGCAACATTTGCAACATA